AACTAACCAAAGTAAAATGATCTGGGGGAAATTCCCTTCAGATATTTAATTAACAAAGGTTACAAAATACATCTTAAGTTCATGTGTATTTATACTTTTTTTTAAAGTTTAAATTTCTAAGTTGTTTTGCTTTGCCTTGAAACATTGGATGTCATCAGAATATCAAAGCATTCCAGAACTTAGAGGACTGAGAACAAACATGTTATTTCAAGTGCTAAATTAAACAACAAACAAACAAAACCCAACAATACCATGTCTACCATCTGCTTGGTCATCATAATACTAAACCTGATGATTGGGATTTACCATGATTTTTCCTTGGCTGAAAGAATAGTTAAGATTCAAAGTCTTCAACACTTCCTAGTAATGGAGTAATGAGCTTATCTGGACTTTTTCCAAAGGCAGTGCTATGTACTGAAAGTCTGGGTTTCCCCCAAATTCATAGATTAAATCCCTAATCCCTAATGTGATAATATTTGAGGTAAAACATAAGAAAATAATTAGTTCTTGAGAGTGGTGCCCTTATGAATGCGATTAGTACCCTTATAATAAGAGACAGGAAAGAGATTTTTCTCTCTGCCATGTGAAGATATAGCAAAGAGGCCATCTGCAAATCGGGTGAGGGCCCTTAGCGAGAACCTAATCAATTGGTAGGCAACTTGATTTTGGACTTCCCACGTTTCAGAACTTTAAGAAATAAATGTTTGTTGTTTAAACTATCTAATCTATGGTTTTTTTTATAGCAGCCCCAAATAACTATTAGTTTAAGACATATCTGTGTTGGTGGCCCAGGTGAAGAGGTAAATGAGGGTGAGAAGAAGAAATATAAGGGAGAATGTAAGAAGTATGTGGAAATTATGGCTTGCATTTAGTAGGTAGTTGGTAAATCAGACTTATAAAGTCTTAGATTTAGATATAACAACACTTTCTTAAAAGATAAGAAAACAAGCATAGATATACAAAGTCAGTTGGTCATCATCATAAGATACTTTAAAAGAGGGTAAAGATGATGACCAGGAGGTAAAATTAGCTTTTTGTATTTACTTCTAAGTGTTGAGGAGAATTCAGGAGAAGATAACTGATTCATAATAGAGTCTCACTTTTCCTCTCTCTCTTTTCTTCTTCTTCTTCTTTGTCTTCGTCTTCTTCTTCTTTTTTACTTGATAATTCCAAGTTTATATTTATAGCCAATAGCAAAATGTAAACCAGCAAACTCTACTCTGGGCTTTATGGAAGTATTAGAAACAAGCTGAAGACTGGAGTAACCTTTGAGACTCTAAGACAAAGTTAGGAGTCTAATTCCATGTTGAACTCTGAGTTCAGTGTGTTCCTTTCTCCCTACTGCAGCATTCTGTTACTCATTATGTCAAGACTCTGCTCAAATTCTCTTACCAATGGAAGAAATGAAGCAGAGAAGGGGAAATGGGAAAGCAACACAAGACGAAGGCATCCTGATGTTGGTATTATTATGATGTTTTTCCCTGCTTCAACCAAGGGAAATCATGAGAGTTTGCAAAGGAAACTGAATATCTTTCTGAAGGAATAAGATGGCCTGTATGATTTTCCACAAGTTGAAGATGTTCTTTTCCCATTTCACACTGCTCTGGTTTCAGGTAATCAAAAATGAAAATTAAACTAGTTTAAGGAAAAAGGGGATGAGCTTGAGTACACTGCAGGCTTATTAGGTTTTTGTTCCTTTCAAATGGAAGTTTCATTCTTTTTCACTACACCCTGATTATCTTTACATAGAAACCAACATAGGTCAGCTCTGGAGTTTTTAGATCACACAAATTTCCAGTAAAAGGTTAAATAATGAGCTTTTTTTTTTTTTTTTTTTTCGTGAACAAAAGCCCAAAGAAGGGACTTCACAGGTGACTCTCTTTTATCCAGTCAACAGTTACCAAGGCATTTTGAATTTTGATTGCCCCTACTTGATATTTTGAGTGGTTTTAGAACCAAGGTGTAAAGGTGGTTATAACATGAATGTAGAGCCATATTTAAAATGTAGAACCAAAGAAAGGACAGGTCCTAGAAAAAGGGGTACTCTGCAGATAATCCCAGGTGTTCATTTGTGGTTTCCTAAATAACACATTGGGTTACTTGGTTTTTATTTTTGTTTCCAGGTTACAAGTAATAGAAACACGTTTAGTTACTCAACTGATAGGGGGTTTATAGATACAAGGCTAAATGAAGAAATACAGAGATCCAGCTCAATGTCCAGCAGTCGGTTAGTATGTCCTTCCCAGATAAGGTTGGAAATGTTTACTACTCTGGTGTTTCTTTCTTATGATGAGTCGGGTGAGAAAGGGGGTGCTACGTAGTTTTCTTAAATTACCCAGATTTGGGTATATCTGTTATTAATAATACGCCGAACCAGAACAGGAAGCAAAAGAGAGCAGACATATACAAAGCTAATTTTTTTTTTTGAGAGTTTTTTGCTATAGGGTGCGTGCGCTCGCCAGAAAGAGAGAGAGACAGAAAGCGAGAAATCACCCCCCAGGGAGGATGGCCACACCGCCATCCCTTCTCCTCCATTCTCCTCTCGGGATCTTGGGCACACACGCACCCTTGCCCGGCATGAGTTTAAGCCACCGGGTCCAGGACTTGAACCGCGGTTGACTACATGGGAGTCCAACGACATAGCTATTACGCTAACTGCTGGTCCCTCAGAGCTAATTCTTGACTAGAGCTAATGACCTCTATTATTTCAACCTTCTACATTGGTCACATAAGGTAGCATCCTGTCTCCACTTCTAGGTTTCATATTTAAATCATGTCTGATCAGTTACCATTTAAAACCCTCTTTTGTGAAGAATTATTCCAGAAGTGAGGGGTGAGACCAGAGAAGTGGGAGTTTCTGACTTAGAAGAATTATAAAATTGGTGAAGGGATAACAACTCTATCAATAGACATAACTTAAACAAAAAAATCCAAAGTATTAAGACCATTTATTTTTTCCCCATGATCAAAGCTAAAATATGCAATTTATTTGTTCACTTCTTGAAACATAATTAGCATGAGAGACCAGGCCTTTTTATTTGGTGGTAGTGGGGGGGTGACTTTGTTTTTTAAAGGAAGTAGCTTTTATGGTAGAGAGGTACCTAAGAGTTATAAGAAGGCAAAGAGAATCCAAGAAAAGGGGACTGAGAAAAAATTGAATGAAAGAAAAGAAAACAGTTGGACCAGCAGATGGCATAATGGTTACATCACTGGATCCCCACATGGTCAAACAGTTCGAATCCTTTACCTAGAAGCTTGAAACTCATGCTAAGAACATGCCAGGTGCATGTGCGTGCACGTCCAAAATCCCAAGAGAAAGAATGGAGAAGAAGGGATTTTGATGTGGCCATCCCCCCTGGGGAGTAATTTTTCCCTTTCTGTCTCTCTGTCGCTATCTCTGTCTCTCCGGTTTGTGCGTGCACCCTATAACAAACATCTCTCTTTAAAAAAAAGAAAAAGAAAACAGAGGGGAAGGGTGATAAAAATAGAAAACAAAGATAATCCCAAGAGCAGTGTGCAGAGTTCTGAAGCAGTCAGTACTATTCTAGTCAAGTCGCCATCATCTGCCCTCAGCTTAGTTTTTCCCAGCTCCAGGCTGCTTCTGGGTAAAACAGCATGCTCAGCTTGTCCGGCCTCTTCACTGGGCCTATTACTAGCTGTACTCTAAGAATGGGAAGGCGTCAGGCTTCAGGCTTCTGCTGCTCCTATCTGTTCTCAGCTCTATGGAAATTCTTAAGGGACAAGGCTATAGATAAACGATGTGGAGAGAAAGAAGGTCTCAAAAGATGATTGAGGAGGAAGGGGGTTTTGATTTTTAAGCTCCCCTGATACTTTTAATTTATATATTTGCTGCTTCGAGAGAAACTGAAAAAGGAAAATAATTCATACATAGAATGCCTGTGCAAATAGCAAACCAATAACCTACTAACCCCAGGAGATCCTGGCCCCTGCCTAGGGTACAAATGCAGAGCTGAAAAGGCAAAGAATATGTACATTGATATAACCCAGTTCCAGAATATTTTAGATTCCTGAGAGTTCCCATAGCTAGCAATGACCTGGAGATTGGGGGGAGGTCGGGAGGCATGAACTTGCAGAGTGAGAACAAGGAATGGGCCTATAGCTGGGTCCACTCTAGAATAAGCCTACTCATTTGAGGTCAGTTATGTTCTGACAGGGCCTGCTTAAGTTCTTTCAGACTGAAGTTTAGTTTTGGGACAAATGTTAGCTTTTGGACTAGAGTCTGATTAATGAGAATGAACCCCAGACCAAGATGTCTTAGTCAGGGAAAAGGTGAAAAGACATACAAAATCTAAAATATCAAAGATCGTAGCTCTCCACGTGTGGATCTTTAGTTAAAAATCAGTTTGGGAGCATGGGAATGTTAGGAGAGAGGCCATAAATGCAGAAGGGAGGGACTGAACTTCCTGGACTTCCTAATCTTCAAGAGGATACCAGTTATTTATGGTACCCACTTTAGAAGTACTTTCTAAGTGTGAAGCATGGGTGAGTAAGGAAGGACAAGGTGATTTGCACTGAACTGACATTGATTTTCCTTTTAGTTCCAGGGAAACTAGTGTCTGTGGATGAGCATCATGGAGCAACCGGGGAAAACGGTGACTTTCTTATTTAAAATAGTCTTTATTCTAATCATCCCTTCAGTAGTCTGTCCACTTTTGAGGTCAGCCGTCCTGGGCCGGCGCAGGAGCGGGAAAGGGAGTATTTCAGTCCCTGGCCTCCAGTGAGCCATTTAAAGCCAAGTTCCCCGCCCCCACCACCCTGCTCCTTCTCCCTGACAGGTGTTTTCCCAACTCCGGAGGCCGTGGATTTTGGGGAGTGGCAGAGCCAATAAGATTTCCCTTTGGGGGCGAGAGGGCGTGGCTAGTTGGGTCAGAGACGGGGCGGGGTTTGCCCGGCTGAGCAGAGCCCTGGTTGCGTGGAGGGTTGTTTTATTCTAACCTCCCCCCGCCTTTTTTTTTTTTTTTTTTTTCCTGAGTCTTATTAATTTCTCTGTGGGGCTGCAGCTGGAGACAGTGGAGCGTTTGAAATGACGCTCGGAGCTTTAATTACCGCAGCCGCCGGACAAGTGTGAGGAAAGCTGACAGGAAAAAGAAGGACACGATCCGGGGAGAAGCAAGACGCTCCCCCCGCCCCCTTCCCTCCCGAATTGAACTGGAGGTGCGCGGAAACTGAAAAAGGAGCCGAACATAGCCCGGCTTGAAGGGAGAGGCCGGAAACCTACCGCCTCTTTGCAATCAACTTTTTTTGGAAACCTTTTCCCCCCTTCCTTTTTATTGTTGGCCAACCAGTGAGAGAGCGAGAGAGAAAGTGAGGAGGGAGCGAGAAAGCAAAGGCTCACAGGGGGAAATAGCTGCACAGTCCGGCCCGGAGCACCAGGCGCACACACTCGAGCACACTCCCACAGGCGCACACACGCGCGCATACTCATCTCCTCCTCCGGTCCCCAGCCCTGGACCCGCGGGCGCGGACTCGATCGTCAGCCCCGGGAGCCGGAGCCCCGCGCCCGCCCCCCTCCCGCTCCCACGCGCGCGGGTTGGGGGAATCTCCACTGCGTGCCCGAAAGGGGCTATGCCATTTGGACATGTAATTGTCAGCACGGGATCTGAGACTTCCAAAAAATGAAGCTGGCGACAGGACTGTGGGTCTGCGTGAGCCTTCTCGTGGCGACGGGGACCGTCCAGCCAAGCGCTTCTCAGTCAGGTGGGTCGCGGTTCCTCCTTGCGCTCCAGCTGTTGAGCCTGCCGCCGCCGGCTTCGCTGCCTCGGGTGGCTGCCTTGACCTCTGCGCCCACCCTGAGTAGAGCGCCCACTTCCTTGTGTTCTCGGTCGTCCTTCTTCCCAACCTAAACTTACCCTGTGTGTGTGTGTATATGTGTTTTGTCTATCATGAAAAATCGTTCTGTGCCCCCGTCCCTTTTTTCTCCCTTCTTAACCCCTCTTCTTTCTTTCTCGCGCGTTTTCTGTGAGCCTAAGCGGGCTCCCTTCTGGTCGCGCCTGTTGTTCGGGACATGGGGGACCTAAATCCCCAATCACAGGAGATTCCTCTTTCGGATCTGGTCCTCAAAGGAAGAAGCCTGGAGAAGCGCGCACCGCTGGGGCCGCGTAAGGACTGGGGTACCCGGGCAGTGCCTGCCGGGCCTCTCGGAGCCGGAGGGCCTGGGAGAGTGGAGCTCCGAGAGTAGGACTCTGCACCTGTGTGTGTTCCTTGCGGCCGCTGCGCCCCCAGTCGCCCGAGACTTGCGGGGTCAGACGCGAGGCACAACAGCCCG